GAGGTAGCTCATTGCTGGAGTTAGCATTTGAGAGGCCCTGTGTTTAAACATCTCCAGTATCCTTAAAAACAAACAAACAAACAAAAAACCAAATTAATGAAGAGGTAAAAAAGAAAGACAAATTGTTAAGAAAATGCACAGAAAGTGGGTGTGTTGGTGCATTCAAGGTCAACTTTGGCTACATTAGGAAAAAAAAAAAAAAGAGGAAAATGGCTCATGATCTTCATGATCTGAGCTTTTGGGAAGTGGGAGCAGGTTCAGGAATTCAAGGTCATCCACAGCTACATACTGAATTTTGAGGTCAGATTGGCCTTCTTGATACCTTGTCTCAAAACAACAAGTAACAACAGCAGCAGCAGCAACAATGACATTAGGATGGAGAGTTGACTCAGTAAAGTATTTGCAATAAATACATGAAGACTGGAGTTCAGTTTATTCAGAACCTATAAAACAATAACAACTGGCACATGCTTGTAAATGAGGGGACTTTCCTTGAGCTCTATGTTCAACCAGTCCAGCAGACTGAGAAGCAGTGAGAAACCCTGTTAAAAAATAAGGTGCATAGCCATTGATGAAAACACACCTGATGTTGACCTCTGGTTTTCACAAAATGTGTACCCTGTACATGAACGTAACAAAAACAGTGAAGAGTAGAATATTTGGACTCTTTTTCACTGCCAGGGTTCCACCCACATTGTGGAGACTGTGGGGTTGACTGCCCTGGCAGAGCATGGCAGTCAATTTACCCAGGTTCCTCTTCAATGAGAAAATCTCTCAGACCTTCTGGATCTGGCAGCCTAAGGTCAGTGCATTCCTTTGCAAATAGCTGAAGATGTAATGCTGTCCTGTATGATTCTGCCACCTCTTTATCATCAACAAAAAGGCTGGAATGTTAGGTCTCAAGAAATTCCTTTCCCCAAAATCTGGCATTTAGACTAAAGCCAGCATTTCCTCAGGGACCAAAGAAGATAGTTCCTATTGCTAAAATGAGTTCTTTTCCTTATTTCTGGCAAAAAGGTCATATGGCTCCTCTGTTAACCTATGGCTGAGGTACCTGTTTAACATATCAAATCAGACGCACTGACCAGCAGATCATCCAACTTGCCAATATCTGTTACAGAGTCATCTTGGCTGGCATATCCCACCTCCACCCTCAAGCTCTTCAACTCCTGAGCTTCACTTCCTTTTCTTCAGTCTGTGGTCCCTATACAACCTCAGCCATTTTGACTGTGTGCCCTTTCGGTTCCTACATACTCTGCTGGGCTCTTGGTCAGCAGCTCTTCTCTTAGCCCCCTTCTCTCTTCTCTCATTTCTCTCATCCCTCTCTCCTCTTATAGGCTTCCAGATGCCTCTGGCTGTGCCTTCCCTCATATTTACAATAAAAGCCTCCTCAACCCATACCTAGGAGAAGTCACAACCTCATTTTTCCTTCACAGCAGTCTGAGTTCTCTCCTTTAACCACGTGTGTTACAGGAATCAAATTCAGGTTATCAGGCTCATGGGCAAACACCTTTACCCCTGAACCATTGATTGATGGCCTGCCACTTCTTTTCTGAACTTGATTTTCTCATCTTTTATTAACAGGAAAATGATCAATGAATCTGCTCATTGATGATCTTTTCCCCTCCATACAAAATGGCAGACTACTATGAAAATCCAGAGAAAGAAATTAATCTTGCTAAGAGGCTAGACATCTGTTTTTAAGTTAATTACTGTTAACATGAATATAACTTTATAACTTCAGGAATTCATCATTATACAAAAATCCTTACTATTCCAAAATATTTTGGAGACCTGCTGTTGTTTCCTTAGTCTAAGAAAGGAGATACAGTGAAAAACCAAGAGCTCAGTAGGACTTAGTAGTTTTTTCTAGGTGCTGCCTTAGTTTTTAACCACATGATCATTTTAATCAAGATGGTGGTAAAGTTATATTGTATGTCATCAACCAAGATGGACACAAACCACACATAATTTCTATTTAAGATATCTGTTTTTTAATTCAAAGTGGAACCCAAGTTACATATGCAGTTTATTTTAAACAAGAGTTAATGTGCATATATAGTATGTTTCAGCAAATTAAGATTACTTATGTATGGACTTTTAAATTATAAGCCTGTGCTAAAAGTTTTAAGCTAAATTTTGTTTCATATTTTTTAATGGTACCCAATGAACTTACAAATCCAGAGATAGTTTATAGCATAAATTCTTTGGAGAATTTTTGTTTTTAAGATACCTTTGGGAGTGCAGAACAGAGCAAGTTTAGATATAAGAGATTTTGGGATCATTTGTTTGTGTGGTAGCAGATGATGTTACCATATGAGAGAATTTGGAAATGTATGTAGTGTGTAAATCTTTGGCCACTCATTTGTTATTGAAGCCAAACTGTTTATAGTAAGATAGTGATTCCATGGAGGAAATTAAGTTCCAGGAAAAAAGGAATGGAATTTCACAGGAGGAGCAGAAGATGAGAATAGTGCAGTAGCCCAGATTGTCTTTGAGAAGCTATGGGACTGTAGACAGCTTGTAGAGGAAAGTGAGATGAATTCCAGGAAGGATCTGAGAACAAAGGGCTGAGGGGATAAGTGTCAGTGGTATTAAGGATTCAATCCAGGGCTTCCCCAAGGGAGAGGTGTCTCTTTCCAGGTGACATGGGGCTCAGTAGGATGAGAGGAGCTTTCTGACACAACAATGTGGCTCTTGTAGTATTGGTAGACAAAGCAGGCAGCTTCAGGGTGACACTCAGTAGAAGAGGAGAGGAGAGAACCCCTGAAGAGGAAGAGAAGGCAGCTCCTATGGGGACCAGGAGAGGCTTTTGGAGAAAGGGAGAGTTCCAGTGGAAGGAGATGGGTAACAAGAGTAGATGAGAGGCAAATGGGTTTCAGCAGATAGAGGGAAAAAGCAGCTGAAGAGTTGGACTCTAGAATTTGGAGTCAAATTTGATGGGTAGCAGGGGCCAGCAGAAACAAATGATCCACACATACCCTAGGAGAGTCAAATAAGTAGCTACTTGTGGAGTGGCTGAGTCCATAGAAGGGAAATCATATATGTCAATTCTTAGGTTTCGGCACCAGATGTACAAAAAAAAAAAAAAAGGGGGGGGGGGAGATACAACTGCTTTTCTAGGTATGGTGATATAGAAGGTTTGTTACAGGTATTAGGAGAATTCAGCCAGAGGCTTCTGGAATAGTATTGAAAACTTTAAAAGTTTAGCTTTTAGAGTTTTTGCTCAGGGTTCATAAACAGGAGCTACAATACAAATAAGTGAAGGAACTAAAATCTGAGGGAATAAGGAATGGACTCACACAATTGCTCCTCTGCATGTTCCTTTATTTTTTTGCGCTCTCTCTTGCTGTTCTGTTTCTCTGTCTGTTTTCTTGGGGGTACAGGCATATATACATTTGCAACAGTAATTCTTTTTACAATACAATGTAAGGCTTGAGTTTTTCAGGGTCACCAAGGCAGATAAGATTTACGTACACAGCAATAAACTAAAACTGCTAGAAGTTTTAGCATCAATTACTTAGGGCTGTAGGTTAGAGAGAGGGTCTAAGTTTAATTTGCACAAGAAACAAAACCTGGCCCTTCCATTGCTCTAGCCTCAGTGGAAGCACAGGCTTTCAGGAAAGTTTACTTTTCCCTGAGGATGAGCAAATGGACTGGTTACCTTTGTCTTTATCTTCTCAGGGGAATCGGGAGGGAGCAGTAAATTGCTGAGCTAAAATCTTGAGTTAATAAAACAAGAAGTTTGAGCATCTTTTTAGTGCAGGGTTAGTTTAGGTTACTGCTTCTCTATCTGCCAGTGAGGAAAGCTAGAGCATACTATTTTTCCTACCCATCTATGCAGCTATGAATCCACAATGTGTATGTAGTAATTCTATGTCCTTAGGTATCTGGGAATGTTTTAGATGAAATGCTTTTGCCTGAGCTCTGAACAATGACCAAATGCCTGTCAGTAAAGATTATCGCAGGAAGGCAGATCTCTGCAATTGCATTGGAGAGGGGAACAAGCACCTGATAGTGGGAAACAGGCCTCACACATAGCTAAGGAATATAATCAGTAAACTAGGGCCTGTTAATGGAGAACAGGTTTTACAAATAACATCAGTAAATTCCAAGTGTGTGAGAGAAATTGTTTGCAGTAAATGATCAGGTATTGCTAAACTGTGGGAAGTAAATCCCCAGTTTGTTATAGAAATGAATAAGCTATAGAAAGAATCTATAACTAGAAGCAGCCAATTCAGTCACAAGATTATAATGCCAAGTACAGTTTTTGTATTGGTTTATCCATCAGAAGAATCCTTAATTCACCTGAGTTATCTCGTGATATGATGGCTGTATAAGTTACTGTGTGATCTTGTGGTTTGTAGCAGAAGAGTCCAGATTTAACCAGCCCATGAGAGGTTGGGGGGGGGGGTGAGAGAGAAAGAAAAGAGAGAGGAAAAAGGGAGGCTACTAGATCAGGAGTGAGGCAGGAGATCAAGAGGTCAAGAACCTATATAGCCAAAATGGCTGGGATATATAGGGAAGAGAAACAGACTGAGGTTAGGGGGTGGGGTATGCTAGCCAGACACAGGTATTGGTGATGCTGAGAGAGACTGGTGGCCGGTGTTTGCTTTGATATATTAAACAGGCACCTAGGGCATAGGTTAATGGAGGAGCCATATATGTCCTTTTTCCACAAGTAAGAAGAATGATTCCTTTAAGCAATAAAAGCTGTCTTTTTAGGTCTCTGAGGAAATGTTGACTTTTGACTAAAATGCCAGACTTTGGGAAAAGGAATTTCTTGAGACTCAACATCCTGAAAGTTTTGTCTGACCACTATACATGAACCTTAGCATGTGAACACCTACCTGTATATACGTAAACAAACAAAATAAGTAATTAAAAAACCAAAGTGAAAAAAGATAGCAGTGTTGCTTAATGTAAAGTAATATTATGCTTAATGAATTAAATCCCAAATTTTACCTTTTAATTATTGCTTTTATTTTAATTCACTTTAGAAATATAAACCTGGTCGATGTGATGATATTTTGAAATGGAAACCTCCCAGTCTGAACTCTGTGGATTTTCGACTTAAGATAACAAGAATGGGAGGAGAAGGGTAAGTGTACTCCACTCCAGGCTCAAATAGAGATATTGTGTTTGTGTGTGTGAGTGTGTGTGGTTTTGGAGACATGGTTTTTTTTTTTTTTTTGTGTAGTAGCTCCGACTGTCCTGGAACTCACTCTGTAGACCAGGTTGACCTCGAACTCACAGAGAGATCTACATGCCTCTGCCTCCCAAGTGTTGGTATTAAAGGCATGTACTACCACCACTGATCTTGTTTTGTAGGCCCAGCTAATCTTAAAATTGAAGATCTTATTGCTTCCCAAGTCTTAGGATTATGAGCCTGTTTTCATGAGGTTTCACCCCACACCCTGTCTGATTTGCATGAAATCATATTTCATATAAGACTTCACTGTTTATAGGCTAGTTTATATTACTCTAAAAATGAAAGTAAAATATTCTATATTTTACATATATCTCTTTCATATAGCATCATATGTATATGCTTAAGACTGTTGACAAAACTTTAGTAAATTTTAAAGTTTTCAATATAAAATATTGATTTTATTAAAAGTCTCATCAATTGAATTCTCTGCATATGAGATCATTGGTTTTATAATCACAGTCACTGAATCAGTGGGGCTTTTCCTTTGAAGGGCTTTTGTCTATACTTTATTAGGGGAAGTTTCTCATTATTTACCTAGATATTCATAATATTTACTTTTTTATTTACTGCCTGGGGTTACTGTTGACTCCTATTGTAAAAGATGCTTTAGTGTGAAATTGTGGTAGAATGTTATTTTAAGGTGTGTGAACTTTGTTTATATTGCATTTGTTTAACTTTGTGAAGCTGACATTCTTCACCTGTCTAAATCACCTGATGGTCTCATAAAGAAATGAATGGCCAATAGCAAGGCAGAAACAAGGACAGGTGGGGCTGGCTGGCAGAGAGTGTAAATAGAAGGAGAAATGAGGAAGGAGCAGCAAGAAAATTAGAGAATGTCAGGTGCCACTTAGCCACCGAGCCACACAGCCACGGAATAAGAAGGAAAGTAAGATATGCAGAATCAAGAAAGGTAAAAGCACAGAAGGAAAAAGTAGATGAGTTAATTTAAGATAAGAAGATCTGGCTAGAAACCTGCTAGGATAAGGTTGGATATTCATAACTTAGAATAAGCCTCTGAGTGTGATTTATTTGGGAGCTGAGTGGTAGGCCCCCAAAGAGTTCAAAAAGCCAAAAAGAGTAAAGAGTATGAATGTTAATTGTATTTTCAAAACCTTGTTTATTTCCACAAAAAAAAAAAAAAAAAAAAAAAAAAAAAAAACAAAACTTATCAAAGCAAATACAACAAAATAGGAAATGTTTAATTGAGGAAAAATAAAGAGAAAATAAATAGGATAATGATAGTATAGGGATAAAGTTTGCAGGACATGACATTGAAATTTTGTTTTGTCTGTCAAAGGTAAAGTACAGGTGCACCTTTGTAGATAATGGAAGTAAGGGCATATTATTGATTGTAAAAGTCCAGAATCAAAGATTAAGAATTAGTCTTTTGAGAAAATACAAATATTTGGGCTAGAGAGATGGCTCAGCTGTTAAAGGCTAGGCTCATAACCAAAAATATAAGAAAATACAAATATTCAAAAATGGGGTGTTGTGTAATATAGTGAATCCTAAGTAAAGAAAAGTGCTTGGTTAATATATACATTAGTACTGTTTTTAAAATTCAATTGTTTAATAATTTATATTTTTGTGACTTAATTTGCCACTGTACTCAATAGCAAAAATTAAAAAATAATTTTCTCTGTCTCTAGAGTTTATATTAGATCTCTTTGTTTGTTACTAATCCATAGATAGGTAATTTTATTTATTTGTGTGTATGTATGTGTCTGTGTACAGTTTTCAGAGGACAACTAGTAGAAGTCAGTTTTTCAAATGTGTTTCAACAGGTTTTCAAGCGTTGCTGCAAGAATCTTTACTAGCTAAGCCATCTAGCTAGCCCCATATAGGTAATTTTAGACTATAGAACAGCTTGTATATACAAACATACAGCTGCATGATTGGGAGGCTATTTATGAAAATGCTTTATTTTTTCTAAGTGTTTGGTAAATATTGACTCAAGTTTATTTTTTTCTGATGTAATGTCTGGTGTATGAACATTCTGTTTACCTGTGGAGGCTCTACTGTAGCAAGCAAGAATGGAGACTTATGGGAGACCACCATACTTAGAAACATTCCATAATGGAGACATTCTAGTGGGGCCATTTTTCAAAAAAAAAAAAAAAAAAAAAAAAACAAACAGATGTTTATGATTGTTTGGAAACTTATATTTTGCTTTGCTTTGCTTTTTTGAGATAGTACTTCTTTCTAGCCAGTCTGTTCTAGAGCTTCTCTCAGCCTCCTTAGTGCTGGGATTTTAGGTGTGAACCACAGATCTGGCCTTGGAAAGTAAGATTTTTTAAAAGATGCATTTACTTTTTACTTAATGTGTATGTGTGAGTGTCTGAATCTCTATATGTGATGGGGGATGTCCTGTATGCTGTGAATATATGTTTTTTTTACCAGTTGATGAATAATGCTGTTAGGCCTATAGACAAGCAGGATCTAGCCAGGCAGGAAATACAGGCAGGGCTACCAGTCTAGGAGAATAGAGAGATGCCATGTAGCTGCCAAGGAAGAAAGGGGACTGGGCATCACCGGCAAGTCCAAGACCATGCAGAAATACATAGATTAATAGTAATGGGTTAATAAGAGAGAGCTAGCCAGTAAGAAGCCTGAGCCATTGGTCAAACAGTTTATAATTAATATAAGCCTCTGTGTGTTTATCTGGGTGGAACAGAAACTTTGTCTTTACCACATGTGTGCCTGGTGACTGATCAGAAGAGGCTATCAAATCCCCTGTAACTTTAGTCATAGGTAGTTGTAAATTGCTGTATGGATTTTGGAAACTCAACCTTGGTCCCTGCACACAAGTAGCAGGTGCTAAGAGTAACAAGTGTTGTTAACAGCTCAACCATGTCTCCTGAACACTGGCAAGTAAGATTTTAATATGAAAGTAACATTTATTAAACTGCTTCATTACTAATATTTTCTTTTCTCTAATACTGTGTTTGTAATAATTTGTTAGTTAATATTAGCTATTTGGTTTTCATATCCAACCCTGGTTCTTCTTTCCATACTTTTCCTCCTTCTAATCCTCTTCCTCCTCATTTTTTTTTTTTTTTTTGTAATTTTTTTTATAACTCATTGGCTATACCCTAGAAGAAAATGATTTCCCACCCACTAGCATCCATCCATTGCCAATAGCTCCTTAGTCAGGGGTTGAGCCTAATGAGACCCTCTTGCATTCCTGTTAGAATGTTGACTGGTGCCAGTCTTGTGGAAGTAACTATAACTGCTGTGAGTTCACAAGTGTAAACATGATGTGTTCAAAAACCAGTATTTCATAGCACTCCTCCCATACTCTTAATATTCTTTATACCCTCTTTTCCATTTTCTCTGAGTCCTGAGTTGTTATAAACCTATTTAGGATTGAGCATTCAGTAGTCACCTATTCTCAGCCTTTTGACCAGTTATGAGTCTTGGCACTCAGCACAAAAGATGTGTCTCTGATTGACTTTGAGAAAAGCATAAATCTCTGTAAATGTACATGTCCACTTAGCAAAACAGTAGTAGTAGTTTCCACACTAAGACCTGTGACTTCTGTTCTAAGCCATAGGCCTTTGACTAGGTTTTCAGTGCTATTCATAGATTCTTCTGGTAGTAGAGGACTCAGATCCAGTCAGTAAGCAGTTGACCTCTTCATGTTACTTTAGCACCAGTTGACACCTCTTTCTGAACAGGTTGAAATTTTAACGTTTAGCATCCTATAGTGGGCTATGTATCCATTCACTGTTACCTTTTATACTAAAATAGGAAGGCTTTCTTTTTTAAACACTTCCTTGAGCTTTCAAGAGGGCAGCAGGCTGAGTAGGAACTAGAGTTCCACCGGAAGCTTTGGCTAATGGGCTGGGGAAGTCCCCATTTGAGATCAATAACCAGTTGGGGTGAGTTTCTTTGTATGTGGTTTCTTGGTTTGTAATTCACACCATTCAAATTATGGATAGTTCAATTAGTCCAATTTGGGCACTATATAGTTCTGAGAAGTTAGCTTGAACTGTTGTACAAGTAATTTCTAGTTACGTAATCTCTGTCATGCAAATAGAGCTTACATAAATCACTGTTTGATCCCAATTCAGTCTGGCCAAAGGGTCCTGGCATGGGGTTGTGTTTCTGTGTTTTCAGATTGCAGGCTTCTAAGGCTGGAAGTTTGGGATTCCTGTGCTCTGTTTTTGTCTTTTATGAATGGATTTTCTTCTACAAACCTCAGTACTAGAGGCGTAGAAGCAGGAGGATCAGAAATTAAAAGGATAGTCTGGGCTACATGAGACCATAAACAGGCTTTCTAGTCCAAGAAACAGGACCCCCAAACTCCTTTTTACCAGGAAATAGTTTATTGTAGTACTGGCTGATAAGATTAATGTCCAAAAGCAAGAACTTTAAACTACTTGGCACAGATTGAGAAAGGAGTGAGCTGTAGTCAGTTTCCATGTCCAAAATGGTGGGTGGGTGCAGTGGGAGTGGGTTGGGTATTACCGTCCATCCAGCAAGCATATAAACACAGAGACATTGACCAGTCCATATGGCTGTATTTTCTTTCTTTTAGCACTTTAGAGCCTCTCTCCTCCCATCATCACAAGATCCAGTTTAATAACAACAACAACAATAATAACAACAACAGAACCAACACAAAAAAGCCAAAATGAATCTCACAACAACAACAACAACAACAACAAAAACCAACATAAAAAAAGCCAAAATGAAACCTCTCAGATGTTTGGTCCTGGGCTTCTATTTTGGGGTATGAGAGTCATAATAAGCTAGAGATATCCCTTCCTACCTTTCTGTCTAGCACTTCCATGACTTTCCTGCTATATAATTAACCCCACATTTCTAGTACTTAGTTCTAAATATATAACCAGCTGAAAACCCTCAAACTGTGTTCCCCTAACTTG